AGACATTCACCTCCCCCCCCCCCCTTCCTTCCCTCTTCTGTTCTGAAATTTGATTTGTCCTTTTCATGTGTGTTCATTTTTTTAAATTGTATCCTTTGGTATATATGGTTGTGACTGTTTTCTTCCACTATTTGATCTGAGGAAGTGGGTCTGGCCCAGGAAAGCTCATCATCTAATAAACCATCTTGTTAGTCTTTAAAGTGCTACATAGTCCTGTATTTTCCCTTAAATGTCTTCTAAGAGCTCAGTAAGCAGTTGAAGTGTTGGTAATACTGCTAGATAATACTGACCTCCTATGGTTTGGCAAATTCTCTGGTCCGGCACCAATCAGGTTCTGAGGGTGCTAGACTAGAGAGGTTTAACCTGTACTATATTGTATTCGACTTACAAATTAAACAGGTTAGCTAGATACAGACTGCAAGAACTGAAAACTCCCTGCGCTCCCTTCTGGGAAATGGATATATAACACAAAGGTAATCCAATATTTATATCTTACTTTTATTTCCTGATCCAGATAGTTTGGGGCATAGTTCACATTCTCTCTGACTTCTGGCCTGTAATGCATAAAACGGGCTGGCGAAGAGGGACGAGTAAGAGAAGAAGGCTGGATCTCCTGGCCAGCTGCAGTCAGTGAACGAGCTTGTGCTTTTTTCAAAGACTCTTCCTAAGAAGGAAGGAAGTTTTGAACAGGTTTGACAGATACCAGTTACACACTGAAAAGCACCCAACCTTGCTACTCTAGAAGCTGATGATGATTTTACCATTGGCTTCAATGGAAGCTGAAACTATCCCTCCAAGCATTAGAGATTCCGTACAACAGGGCCACAAATAAGGAGAAATTCAGTTAATAATTTAGCCTGCAGTAACTAGTCATAATAGGCACAGTGTCTCGATATGCCCAAGTGTTTGTGTCATAGACCCAGATCCACAAATGGCACTTAGTGTAATCACTTATAGGATTATGAGGCATCCCAGCACAGATTTTGTGGGTCACAGTGTTGCCTAAAACTGATTTAGACACCCGCCGACCTTGTGGATCATAATCCTTAAATCTGGATTTTTCTAATAATTAAAAAACAAGCTCACTCTGGATGTGAGTTATTGTAGGCATAGTTTTTCCCATTAAGCGCGTCTTATGGGAGAGTTACAAACTCTGGAAAAATCAGGGATTTGGAAAAGCATTCTTAGCTAACTGGTGATGGAAGGTTCTTCTTCTGGGTTCTCTTCCCAGCTCTGATGCTCAATAATGCTGACTGAGTCAGTTAACTCCTCTGTACTTCAGTTTACCAATTGGTTAAGGAGTGGGTATGATACTTAACAGGGTTTTGTGTTAGAGCACTTTTTTTCTACATTTTACAAAGTGCAAGGTGAATTGTTAGCTATCACAGATTACCGAGGAGGGATAAAAGAAAAATTGGCCTCTTGTAAATATTGTTCAGACTCTTAATTAGTCTCAATTATTGACATAAATATGCTGAATGATGAGAAGTTAGACAATGTTTATTTTACAGAAATGAACCCACATAATTTCAAGCCTCCCTCCTCTACTTGTTTGATGCTTGTGATCCCTCATTTTGAGTCCTTGTAATGTTTTAAACTAAGGCTGCAGTTTGTGTCCCACTGTTGGTCTCCTTGGCAGAGAGAGAGCGATGAGTGGGTGTATAGAATCTAGGTGCTAAGGACACAGCTGCTAAAAATAACTGCAAATCTTTCTTTACCTTTCTCAGTAAAGCAAGGAAGTCTCTTGTCCTTTTAGAGAACTCAGCCATTTCTTCTCTCCCAGGCTCTGGAAATTGATGCACAAATGTTTTCAGTGAGTTTTTATTGGAATCAAGATAATAAAATTCAGTTTTAATAGTTTCTGGGGTTATGCAAAATCATGGCTACTCACGTGAACCAGGTCGTGATAGCCCTTTCCCAATGTGTGGATAAGCCTGGAGATTTAGCATAGAGCTTCTGGGAGATGATATGTCCATGCTTTGTCCACTTAACTCATGATGCTGATCATGTTCTCGCTGTGGGGTTAAGATTTTGCTGGCAGCCTGGTGTGGTCTTGAAAAAGTGCCCGCATCTCTCACAACACAGACAGGCGCATTATTTAACCCTGAAGGAGAGGAGAACACCGATGCAAACTTCGTCACCATTATCGAACGTCTGCAGACCATTTTGGGGGTAGGGCTTCTGAGTGAGTGGAGGCTGCAGCTATAAAAATTCATTGATTTGTGTGTGTGTGTGTGTGTGTGTGTGTGTGTGTGTGTGTGTGTGTGTAATGAAGCTAGTGCTTGTGAAAGCAGAATGTATACAATACCAGAATATGTGCTGCACAGAAAAGAGAGTGCTAGCATCTCTGTGACTCGTACACGAATTCAAAAGATCTCAGTCATGACTCTGGGTCCAGAGCTTGACCCTTTGCAACCCACTATGTCAGAGGACTTAACCATTGCAGAAGCAATACACGCTGTCCTTGTGGGGAGAAGACTAGGGATGATAAATTTTGTTTAATCAACTAGTCGATGGATTTTCCGTCGATTAGTCAATAAGCAGGGGAGCCGCTGTGATGTTAGCTCTCAGCCCCAGGAGCTAACCCCGCTGTAGCTCTGCCTTTTAAGAGCCAGTAGGGTCAGCTGATTCCCGGCATGCGCTGGGTTCCCCCCTGCAGTGCTTTAGCCTTTTAAATGTATTAAGACCCTGCTTATCAGTTAGTTGCTTGCATCCCTAGAGAAGACATCTCATGTCCTTTGAGAAATTGTTCTTCTAGCTGACGCTTGAAGAGAGAAGCATTGACAAGCTCTGCATCTGGCAGGTTAGAGGTGGAAAAAAGGAGGTATTTTTATTTTATATTGCTTGATAAAGCAAGCAGGTTTGGCAGATTCTGTGCGCATTTCCTCTGCATCTCAAATAGTTCTCTCTGTTGCTGTGCTGCTTCTCTTGTTTGCATGGGAAAGTTTACTGTAAAGGTGCAAATTTAAAACACACCAAGAGTGTCCTTGGGCGAATAAGCTTAGTGCACTCCTCAAATGCATTTGAGATACTGTGCATGAAGGTGAGCTAATGCAGAGTGGCTAGTGTGCCCTAAGTACTCTGCATTACCTACTACAGAATTTCCCTTTGTAGGCAAAACTGAGCTTTGCTCTGGATTCCAATATGTTTTTAATTTGATATGAAACCAAAGCCTCAAGTTTTGCCCCTCAAGACCAAGCCTGGGTGAACAGAAACCCCGTTTCCTCCAAAATATAAACTTAAATTGGCAAGTTTTCCACAGCTCTGCTTGTGACCTTCTAACACCAAGTGTCTGCTTATTTAACTAAAGGAGCCACAAACATTTGAATAATAGAAGTGATCTATTCCAGTAGAGGGCAGAAGAACATAGAAGCTAGTCATTTTTTATGTGACAGTTTGCATTGGGTGCAGCTTGCTCAGGAAGGCTAGGAGGAGATGTTGCCTTATATATTAAAGATATACACACTTGGATGGAGGTGAAGATGGACATAGGAGACTGAAGTGTTGAGTGTCTCTGGATTAGGCTAAAAGGGTAAAAAACAAGGGTGATGTCATGCTAGGGGAGTCTACTATAGGCCACCTACCCAGGTGGATGAGGCATTTTTTTAAACAACTAACAAAATCATCCAAAGCCCAAGATTTGGTGGTGATGGGGGGACTTCAACTATCCAGATATATGCTGGGGAAATAACACAGCGGGGCACAGACTATCCAATACGTTCTTGGACTGCATTGGAGACGACTTTTTATTTCAGAAGGTTGAAAAAGCTACCGTGGGGAAGCTGTTCTAGATTTGATTTTAACAAATAGTTGAGAATTTGAAAGTGGAAGGCAACTTGGGTGAAAGTGATAATGAAATCATAAAGTTCACAATTCTAAGGAAAGGTAGAAGGGAGAACAGCAAAATAGAGACAATGGATTTCAGGAAGGTGGCTTTTGGTAAGCTCAGAGAGCTGATAGGTAAGGTTCCATGGGAATCAAGACTGAGGGGAAAAACAACTGAGGAGAGTTGGCAGTTTTTCAAAGGGACATTATTAAGAGCCCAAAAGCAAGCTATTCTGCTGTGTCCGAAAGATAGAAAATATGGCAAAAGACCGCCTTGGCTTAACCACGAGATCTTGCATGAACTAAAAATAAAAAAGGAGTCCTATAAAAAATGGAAAGTAGGACAAATTACAAAGGATGAATATAAGCAAATAGCACAGGAATGCGGGGGCAAGATTAGAAAGGCAAAGGCACAATATGAGCTCAAACTAGGTACAGGAATACAGGGAAACAAGAAGACTTTTTATAAATACATTAGAATCAAGAGAAAGACCAAGGACAGGGTAGGCCCACTGGTCAGTGAGGAGGGTGAAACATTAACAGGAAACTTGGAAATGGAAGAGATGTTTAATCATTTCTTTTTTCGATCTTCACCGAGAAGTCTGAAGGAATGCCTAACATAGTGAAAGCTAGTGGGAAAGGGGTAGGTTTAGAAGATAAAATTAAAAAAGAACAAGTTAAAAATCACCTAGAAAAGTTAGATGCCTGCAAGTCACCAGGGCCTGATGAAATGCATCCTAGAATACTCAAGGAGCTGATAGAGGAGGTATCTGAGCCTCTAGCTATCATCTTTGGAAAATCATGGGAGACAGGAGAGATTCCAGAAGACTGAAAAAGTGCAAATATAGTGCCCATTTATAAAAAGGGAAATGAGAACAACCCAGGAAACTACAGACCAGTTAGTTTAACTTCAATGCCAGGGAAGATGATAAAACAAGTAATTAAGGAAATCATCTGCAAACACTTGGAAAGTAGTAAGGTGATAGGGTACAGCCAGCATGGATTTGTAAAGAACAAATCATGTCAAACTAATCTAATGGCTTTCTTTGATAGGATAACTAGTCTTGTGGATAAGGGAGAAGCAGTGGATGTGGTATACCTAGACTTTAGTAAGGCATTTGATACAGTCTCACATGATATTCTTATCAATAAACTAGGCAAATACAACTTAGATGGGGCTACTATAAGATGTGTGCATAACTGGCTGGAGAACCGTACTCAGAGAGTAGTTACTAATGGTTCACAATCCTGCGGGAAAGATATAACAAGTGGGGTTCCGCAGGGGTCTGTTTTGGGACTGGTTCTGTTCAATAACCATTCTCAGAGAGTAGTTATTAATGATTCTCAATCCTGCTGGAAAGGTATAGCAAGTGGGATTCTGCAGGGGTCTATTTTGGGACCGGCTCTGTTCCATATCTTCATCGATGATTTAGATATTGGCATAGAAAGCATGCTTATTAAGTTTGCAGATGATACTAAGGTGGGAGGAGTTACGACTGCTTTGGCGGATCGGGTCATAATTCAAAATGATCTGGACAAATTGGAGAAATGGTCTGAGGTAAACAGGATGAAGTTTAATAAAGACAAATGTAAAGTACTCCACTTAGGAAGGAACAATCAGTTTCACACATACAGAACGGGAAGCGACTGTCTGGGAAGGAGTACGGCAGAAAGAAATCTAGGGGCTATAGTGGACCACAAACTAAATATGAGTTGATGTGATGCTGTTGCAAAAAAAGCAAACACAATTCTGGGATGCATTAATAGGTGTATTGTGAGCAAGACACAAGTCATTCTTCTGCACTACTCTGTGCTGTTTAGGCCTCAGTTGGAGTACTGTGTCCAGTTCAGGGCACCGCATTTCAAGAAAGATGTGGAGAAATTGGAGAGGGTCCAGAGAAGAGCAACAAGAATGATTAAAGATCTAGAGAACATGACCTATGAAGGAAGGCTGAAAAAATTGGGTTTGTTTAGTTTAGAAAAGAGAAGATTGAGGGGGGACATGATAGCTGTTTTCAGGTATCTAAAAGGGTGTCATAAGGAGGAGGGAGAAAACTTGTTCATCTTGGCTTCTGAGAACAGAACAAGAAGCAATGAGCTTAAACTGCAGCAAGGGAGGTTTAGGTTGACCATTAGGAAAAAGTTCCTAACTGTCAGGGTAGTCAAACACTGGAATAAATTGCCCAGGGAGATTGTGGAATCCCCATCTGTGGAAATATTTAAGAGTAGGTTAGATAAATGTCTATCAGGGATGGCATAGTCAGTACTTGGTCCTGCCATGAGGGCAGGGGACTGGATTTGATGACCTCTCGAGGTCCCTTCCAGTCCTAGTATTCTATGATTTATTACTCAAGTGCTGTTGATGTCTTGTTTTCATTTCTTCCCATCTGGCAGCTGTTCAAAGGAGCAATTCAAGTTTACTTAACTGAGATTAGTAGCTAGATATGTTAATAGAAAGCTAACAATTTAAGGCTGTCTGTGGCTGAGGAATGCAAAAGTTAAAGTGTAAGACTTTCTAAATAATGAGTCTAGACTTTTTCTCAGATGCCACCAGGCCAATTTGCTTCGCTTTCATAAAATTATTATAAGAACTTGTGTGTCCTACTTATTCCTGTGCAGAATCAGTGTGTTTTGGGGAAGAAGGGGCCATTAGATCATCTAGCCTGACCTCCTGTATCTCATTGGCCATAGGCTGGTTTTCCCTGCATTAAACTATGTAACTTGTGTTTGGTTAAAGCATATTTTTTCGGAAAGGTATCAACTTTTGATCTGAGTGCTTTGTTCCAATCACTGTCACTCTTTTAAAAAAAAAAATGGGCCTAAGGTTGTTAAAATGTGCTTAAGGTAAATATGTAACCACTGAAAATTTGATTACTAGATTGCTGTATGGCTGCACTATCCCCATTGACTGTCCCTCCAATGTTTTGTCACCCACAAATATTATCAGGAGTGATTTTTATATTTACTTCAGATCCTTGATGAAAATGTTAAATAGAGTGAGTCCTAGTACTGATTCCTACTGAGCCCTGCTAGCAACTTGGGATGTGAGCAGGTAATACAGTAGTCGACTAACTGCATGAATTCTTAAGTTAGTCAATTATTCTATAGTCCATGCAAGAGGGGCTGGCAGCCAGTGCAATCCAGCCCTGCCATCCTGCACTGCAGCATGGGAAGGCAGCAGCCCCTGTCCTCAGGTGTCTGAGCTCCCCATGGACAGAGGCTGCTAGGGGTTGGGGAGAGTGGCAGAGGAGGCTGCTGCGATGCAGCCTGGAATGGCTACATACACAGGCTGCTCTAGCAGCAGCCCCATCCGCAGGGGCTTGGACCCCCCAAGGATAGGGGCTACTGCCGTAAAGCTGCTTCCCATGGTGAATCTGGGCCTGCTGCAGGCAGAGGCTGCTTCCCAGCAGCCTCCCCTACCTCCCTACCCCCTTGTGCTGCTGCCTCTGATCCGTGCAAAGGACATCAGGTGGTGCTGCAGAGCTGGTGCTAGGGGGAACCCTGCACTGACTCCTGCATTCATGGAACTGGGAGTCACCTAAATATTGTGTGATCTTGCACAAAGTAGGCCCATTTGGGTAGCAAGATAGATTGGAATACCCCCGTCTGTGACTCCATGTTAAGGCTGTTTACTGCACTTGAGGAGCTCACACTTGATAGTTGGTTGGTGAAATCTAAGTATAGAACTCAGTCAATTTGGAATATGAGCCCTGCTTCTTAAGTCTGCCTTGAGGCTGATACTCATGTTCTTGAATCATTCTCAGGACAGCTGGACAGATTCATGCACAAATAGGTCAACTCAATCTGCCTTTGGCTGGTTTACATTATAGTCAGGTTCCTTTTATTTGTTCAAAAGCCTCTATTCTCAGATATAAGAAATAGTTATCTATGATGTATCTTCCAAAGCCTGTTTGGATCTGCTTCACTCTTCTGTCCTCCCTGCCAAAGGTATATAAGCCACGTGCTCCATAATTACTCCCTCCAGGCCTACATCCTCTCATCTTAATGATTCTCTAATAACCAATCAGAGACTGGTTTTTGTTTTCCTTAATAACTCACAATATGCCTTTGGCAATCAGCATCTGGCTGTCTGTGGCTATATTCCCTTCCTGCCTCCCTGCCCCCAGTATCACCAACACAGTGTATGTACACAATAGACATTACACAAAGGTGGGAATTTTTATACTAATTCTAAACTGGATAGTCTGATAGAGCCATTGGTCTCAGCCACCCTTTCCCAGGACCCTCCATCATGACCATTGACCATCACTATACTTCTGAAGGAGGGGGAGTGAATAGGGACTCCCTGCAGAGCCCAGGAAATAGAAAAGGATTGTAAATGTCCCCACCCTCATCTCCCAGAAACAGCTGTCTCTGGATTTTAAGGCAGATTTGACCCATGTTTTGCTGGAGAGGGCCATTTTATGGATTTGTTAAGTGGCAAAGGGTTCTTCCTTCTCTACCCATATCTGCTGATTTAGGAAAGAAATGAGTAGAAATGCTCATCACACCCAGGACTCACAAGTGACTGTGTAGAGCACTATCTCTCTAGATCACTGAGCTGGCATTTCAAACTACATTGAAACACAGAGCTGCTATTGTGGAAGGGCAAGAGTTCTTTAAGTGGTGGCTGGTAGCTATGACATGGTGGTGGTCATGTTGTATACAGGTTGGGTTCTTTTCCTCATTATGTTCTGCAGGACTGTGCCAAGTGCCATGTGGGAGGAGACAGGCTTCCTTGGTAAGATTTTTCAGAACCTACATCTCATCTTGTTCCACAGTAATCCATGTTGACATCACTGGTGGGTGTTCACCGCTAACATTTATTGCCTGCTCATTTACACATGGTAACCGATTTTTAAAAACTGAAGTTGTTCCTAATGTTTTCTTCTTCAGAGAGAATAGTAAGGCTTGAATAGTAAGGAGAAATAATGAGGCCCAAATTCTGCTGTGAGTTACATTGCTGTAAATTTGCCTTCTAGAAAACACACTGGAATCAACTCCCTATTTATACTAGTGTAACTGAGAACAGAAATTGGCCCTTAAGTTTGCATATGCAGGTCTGTTTACAGGAAGTGCCTTTAATTTTTGTTCTCTGAATGGAGCTTTAGCATGGAATGTTCAAAAAGAGTATGTCTTTACTGCACAGTGAGGGTATGTCTCTGCTGCCAAAAAAATCCAATGGCCCCAGAGCCTGGGTCAACTGATGGGCTCATGAGGCTTGTGCTGTGTGGCTCAAAGCAGCAGTAGAGATATTGTGGTGTTACTATGGCCTTAAGGGAATGAATACAATCTTCAGGATGTGGAGGTCAACAGCTGAAGGAAGCAGTCTGGGATTCCTGCTCCTTTTTGGAGCCCACCCTCTGAAAATTAGGAAGGAGAGAGGGTCTCAGAGCTCCAGGGTCCAGCTAGAATGGAAATAGCCTCACTGTTACTTTTAGCCCCATTGCACATGCTTGAGTCCTGTGATCTGGACTCTAAGACTTGCTGTCACGTTTTGGGGGAGGGAGGCTGGGGGAGGTTTGTTGTTCAGTGTAGATATATGCTTCTTAGCCCACAGGTTGTCCTAGTCTGGGTTTGAGCATCCCTACTGCAAAGCCCGACTTGACTTACTGCATCCTCACAAGTGCTGCATCCCACTGTGTGTGTGTGTGTGTGTCTAAGATTTCTGGGGCGCATATCCTGTGGTTCTTTGTGCTGAGATATCCTAAGATTGTTTTCCAGTCAGTTGTGTGAGAACATGTCTGTTTTGTGGGGGGTAGGAGGGTTGGGAAAAGGCACTAGAGGAATATCAGTACATGTAATTTTTCTTGTATCTTCATTGCAAAACTGGGGTGTTCTTTTTTTGAGTCCTTATTCATGTAGATTGTGCACATTCATGTGCACTGTAGTCAGAAGATTTTTTTTTTTCCCCTAGCAGCAACCAACCCATAGGGTCGACCTTGGAGCCCCCTGGAGTTGCAATTTCCTGGCGCTCAATACAAAGTTCCATCCTCTTATTTCCGTCTTACCACCAATGACGGTGGCTGGAACTTGCCCTTGCTCTTTCCTTGTTCGGTAAGTGGATTAGCAGTGCTTTACTAGTCTTTGCATATGGTTAGGCCATAACAGTTCTTATAAGTTTCATTTATTCAAGGACCCCATTTACCCCATCAGTTATTGGGGCATGCCTCATTCACTGGGCTTCAAGATCTGCCAGATTTGCATTAATAGGGACAAAGGAAGACCAGCAACTAATTGTCATTTTCCTGGTCTTTGAAAATCTCTCCTTCCATCCACTTTACCAAGTTGTAAGTTAACTTTATACACTGAAGCAGCTGCGTTAAAATGTCAGTTGGGGTTCAGTGGTTTGGTATGCTGTTAATTGATGACAGACTCTCTCCAAACAAGGCTAACTTTGAAGAATGGATTATATAAAAATGTCACTTTTTATTGAACAAATTGATCCCTGTGTGTTTAAAAGTGGAACTGCTCAGAAAAGCAGGTGGGGAAGCATTGCAATATTTTTTTTAATTATTTTATTTCTGCTGAAAATTTTTGACCCCCTCTAATTTGAAGTCACACCACTCCACCTTCTTGATTGTAATTATTTTAAAAAATAACACAGACACTAACTTCTGATAGTTGTATTGTCTCTTGATTACTATAGAAGAATGAATTAAGTTTCCACATGGCTCTCAAATTATTATCCACAGATTTAATTAAATTCCAATTGCAGAGTCAAATTCTAAATGCCAGAATTGCAAACTTAGGCTGAATTTTTTTAGATGATCTGACTTTTATTCCTTCAATATCTCCTTATCTTTCTATCTCCTTTTTTCTCATTCTGGTACCTAGTCACAAGTTGGATATGTTTGAGAGGGATACTTAGGGTGGAGGGTGTTGTGACACAGGAAGCAAACAAACATCACACATGAAGGATTTTTCATGTGTGATGCAGAGTAATTTTTTGAAGAAAGACATAAAACACCTACATTTCTTTCCAGGAGAAAGGCTGGATGTTGCTGCCTAGAGATGTGTTTCTAGAAGGATGCTTTACCTTGAATATGGCAGACTGTCCTGGGATGTGGGATGTGTCTGGAGAGAAAATAAGTTCCACCGGTTCTTCCAAAAGGAGAATCACTCGGACTTCTCTGTGTTATTTCTTTGCATTTGAACTCAGGCTCAGGTTGTTGTTTGAAATTGATATTCATGATGTAACTTCACTAGTCTCCCCACAGTAACTCTTGGGGTAGCAGATCCTGACACGGTCTCAGCAGCAGTAGCGAAATGCTAGAAGTACAGCATAACAATATTCATGGTCATGAAGAGAGCAGAACACTAATGGCTACTTATTTTTCTTGTAACTGTTTTATGTTTCATTACTGTTTCCCCAGTATTCATTCTGAGGCAGCCTTCAGCAAGCACAGATTCAGTAAGAGACTAAAGCTATACTTCTAGAGGATGATATAATAGTCGTCGAACTATTTTGGCCAATTACCACCAATCAGACTTCAACTGCTCTTCTACCTCTGCCCACATGGTTATCTCTTCGTTGCTGCACACAGCTGAGCAGAAACAGCAACAGCTGTTAGTAAGAAGAAATGAGTGTATGTCTACACTTCCAGCCTAATTCGAGCTAAGGCTGCAAATTTAGGCATTCAGAATTGCAAATCAAGCCTGGGATTTAAATATCCCGGGCTTGATTTGCATGTTCCCGGCCGGTCGACACTTTTTGAAACTTACAAGTCCGAACTAACTGCCCGTGTCTACACGTGGCAGGGAAATGGGCGTTTGAAATAAAGCCTTATTCCGAACTACCTGTTAAACCTCATTTCAGGAGGAATAACAGGTAGTTCGGAATAAGGCTTTTTTTTTTTTTTTAACACCAGTTTCCCTGCTGTGTGTAGACGCGAGCAGTTAGTTCGGGCTTGTAACTTTCAAAAATGGCGACCAGCCGGGTACATGCACATCAAGCGCGGGATATTTAAATCCCGGGCTTGTTTTGCAATTCTGAATGCCTACATTTGCAGCCTTAGCTCTAATTAGGCTGCAAGTGTAGACATATCCTGACAGACCTGGGAGACTGGAATTGTCATTGAATTGTGTTATAAGTAAGAGGCAGGCAGTAATGGATAAAGAAAAGGTTAAAAAGAACCTATATTTCCTGAGGGTTTCGGTGTGTTTATTAATACTAGATGATACTGTGACTAGATGGTAAAATACCATTCTACAGTGTGCTGTTGCCAGAAACTCGGTGTGGTAGATACATTTACGACTCATCACCATTAACTTCACATAACTTTTATGACTCACTACTTTTAGGGTTTGTTTTCTTCTTTTCCCATGTTGTTATAATACTCTCCCACTGGCTGCCCCTCTTAGACTTGAATTTATCACCTGGGATATATTTGGGACCACCAGCACTAATTGCGCATCCTAAGAATATTTGAGTTGCTTTATACCATCTCTATATTTATACCTTAAAAGCTTTCTCACTTATACCTCTTCCAATATGTATTAAAAATAATTATTTTTTCCTTCTGGTATCTGTTTTT